CTGCTGGCTGCAGCCCAGACAGGCATGTTTTATGGTCAGAGCACTGGGAGAACAGACACCCCAAGATGTAGGTCCGTGTGTGTGTGTGTGTGTGTGTGTGTGTGTGTGTGTGTGTGACTAACAAAGGTTTGAAGTTGGCCAAACCAGCAAGAATCAGCAGTTCCTGGAAACAGGAGACAGGCCTCTGAGGCTGTGAGTGTGTGCAAATCTTGTGCATTTTTTAAATCCTCCCTCAAGGGTATTTTTTTCCATTGATTTATTTCAGGGAGAGTAGAGGGGAGAGCGGGGCGGGGGGTGGGGAGAGAAACATTAATATGAGAAAGACACACCAATGGGTTGCCTCCTGTTTGCACCCTGCCCGGGGCCAGGGATTGAGCCTGCAGCAGAGGTACGTGCGTGCCCTTGACCGGGAATCGAACCTGTGACCCTTGTATCCAAGGGCCGATGCCAGTGGTCGGCAAACTCATCAGCCAGCAGAGCCAAATATCAACAGTACAACGATTGAAATTTCTTTTGAGAGCCAAATTTTTTAAACTTAAACTATATAGGCAGGTACATTGTTATTAACTTAATCAGCGTCCTCCTAAGGCTTAGGAAGAGCCACGCTCAAGGGGCCAAAGAGCCACATGTGGCTCGCGAGTCGCAGTTTGCCGACCACAGCTCTAACCAATGAGCAAACCGGCCAGGGCTAGTGTGCATTTTAGGAAGAAAGAATGAGCACAGACCGCCTGGAATCGCAAGCCCTCACCTGTTGACTTCCCTTGGTCTCCCAGCGAGCAGTGTCCAGTGTCCAGTGTCCATGAACATCACAGTGTAGTGAGCGAGCCTCCGGCAAGGTGCTGGGTGCCGGCAGGCGTGGTCCCTCCTCCCTGGGCTCACAAACCAGTGGCCTGTGCTCCCGCGCTGTGTGTCGGAGGGTGCGTGACAGAGACCCGCGGTGGAGGCGGCGGATGAGGGGTTGGAGACTGTAGGGTAACCGGGAACACGGCCCCTCCCCGGCCCCAGCCCCCTCCCCGCTGTGGGCAATATGAAGGCCCTCTGTAAGCCGACTGAGGCTGTGGGGCCTGGCCAGCCTCTCGGTCTAAGAAGTGGAAACTGCTTCTGGGTGTGAGCCGGACAGTGCACAGCGCATTCT